GGCCGCTCCGCACCCCCGCCCCGCGATCCGACCCCTGGGGCAGCAGCCTGGGCTCGACCCCGCTCTCCGCAGCGAGTATTTAGGATAAATAAATAAATAAATAAAAGGAACCCGAGGGGGAAAGTGCATCTGTGTTTCATCCCCCCCACGAAAGCCTGCCTCAAGTCAGGCAGTCTGTGAGAAACTGCGATTAATTTACCAAAAACAGATTAATGCCAGGTCGTCGATTAGGACACTGATGCACGAGGAACCTGTGATCCCTTGGAAAGTGCCAGCCAAAAGTGTACTGTCTCACCTAGCCCACCCTCCCTCTTAACTGGGTACCTGGGCCCAGCCAGGGATGCAGGGCCAGCTGCGGTGATTTATACTTGCAAGTGAGTAATACCGTGTGAAATGATGGCCACTTACACTGGATACCTGCATGCTTGTGGTGAATTATGAAGCAGAGGGTCAGAGGCCACCCTTCTTTAATACCAGCAAACTGCAGGTATCCAGTATAACTGCACCTTTGAAGCATATTAGTGCTGAGACAAAAATGTATTTCTTTCATTTATTGTTACAGCTGGTTTGCTGGTTAAAACACTATGTTGGAACCTAGCTTTCACTGACAAAAGCTTTCTCCTCTCAGATTTCCTTAAAATATGCAGTAGTAATGTTATTTAGGTTGGAGAGTGTTTAGAATTATATTTTGGGGGCAATGACGTGTCTGTTCTCTTTTGCTAAGGTTTAGTACTTTTAAGTGTACTCACATGGAGTTATAGTGCTGGCATTACACTGTGTTCATTTTTATGGAGGCAAATAAACGATAACATATTGCACTCCTCCCAAAAGAGCCATACCAAACAGCTCCACTAGGAAATAATTTAATTTTTTTCCTTGCTTCTTCCTTGCCTTAATCTTCCCATCTATAGAGCATGAAGGTATAAAGTGAGAAACTGATCTCCTTCCAAAGAGTCTGGCTGCATCTGGGCCTGCAATGAAGCATTCCCACTGACCTTACCTTCTATGTCTCCTGATAAAATCAGGAGACACTCAGCTCTGGCTGCAGTCCTCCTTGCTTTTTTCCATTTTCAGCAAATCCTTCAATTTTCTCATCTTTCTTGCTGCTTCTTGTCTTGATTTGGGGCTTGACTGATGTTATTACAGCCAGTGGAAGTACTAATTTCAGCAGTCCTTGGAAGAGGCCTCTACTCACACAGCTACTCTCTGAGGCCAAAATAAGAGGAAGGGTGCAGTATGTCTGCCCTTGTTGCCCTGTGTGGCAGTCCTCTGGAAAGCTCACACTTGCCCCACCATGTCCCTTTTGTGTGAACTGCCCATACCCATGTGGGTCTTAATGGTTGCCATTCAGTTTGAAGATTCTAGTGATGTCAGTAGACCACAGCATTCCCCCTCTCACATAAACCCCTTATTTTCCATGTATTACTAAGCAAGATGGTGCATTGTATCACATCCTACTTTGCAGTATCCATGAAGACGATGCTGTTGATCCTTTCTGTGAGGCAGGGTAGCGTGCAAGTCTTGAAGTTCTCCCTTTCTCCCCCTATCTCATATTACAGACTTCCTTCCCTTGTCCCCTGAGACAGAGAAATCCACAACTTGGAGTGGCTGTCTTTAAATGGGTGGTATACCATTGTTGAAAGTGTGTTTGGGTCAAAGTCCTCCACATATCATTACACAAAAGTTAGTCACAGAAGAGGAAAAGATGCACAGTAACTTTTTCCTTGAGGCATGGTAAAATACACCTAGTAGGGCTTCCACTCCTTATAAATGAGGATTTTTTTTTCTATTTTATTTCTACAATTGCATAAAAACTACAGATAAATGTGTAAAGCATGTAACTAAGAAGAATTTAAGTATTGCTTAGTATCAAAGACATACTCCTTCCCTCTCATCAACAAGCCATAAACCAAAACAGTTTCAGAAGATGTCCCATTTTCCAAATTTTCAGCTTTGGCAGGACAAAGGGAAAAGAACACAGCAGGAGATCAGATACTGCTGCTGCCAAGCATTAAGACATTACCAGTGTTTATGGATAGTGGAAAATAAATATCACCATGTGTGACTTTCTGTAAGGGTAAATGACAGTGACATAGGGTTTGTTTATAGGCCTCAGCAATTTCTTAATTTCTTTTCCTTGAAAAGGTAGAAATAAAATGTTTTAACCACACTTACGCACACATATTGTCAGGAAGATGTGAAGAAATACTTGTTCTAGGCAGGTACTAAAAGTTGTGTGCATGAAAAGTTATGCATATCTGGTGGCAGGATGCAGGAAATTGACACTGAAATTGCCAGAGTGAAGTCATGAAGATGCCTTAGCATGTTTAACGTAAGTTGCCACAGAGATACAGTGTCTCCAACAAAGCCATTAATAATCAGGTAGTTTGGAAGAGAGTTACGCATCTACAAGATGGTCAAACACTGCAAACAGGTCGGATTAAATGGTCTGCCCTGGGTGCTAATTGACATCATGGTTAGATATCCTTTTTTTAAGCCCTCAGTTTTCCTGTCAAATGTTTTCTTTCTAACTTGCATGGTAAGATGCCAGATTTGTTTAAAGTGCACTTCCATGCCAACCTGTTTGGGGTTGGGTTTTTTTTTTTCTTTTTTCCGATTTGAGATCCTTTCCTGTATGATCTCCAACGTCAAACTCCAATGCAGCCCCTGAGACCCTGGATATGCCAAAACCACAGGGTTTCTTGATGGCTAGTTTCGAAGAGGAAAGAAAAGATGTTGTGGTGATACCTCACTTTCCAAACTAGCTGTGGAAATAACAACAACAAAAAAAATTCCCGGCATGTACTTGCTGCCTTTTATTCATCATGCCTGGGAATGTCTGTAGGAATATTTGCTGCATAATAATCTTCTCTCAGGACTAGCCAGGAATCTTTTCCCTGGGGTCCTGCAAATCTCATCCTCTAGCCACCTCTAATTGACATGACTGAGGGAACAAAACCCCTCTGCAGTTGCGACTTTACTCACAAAAGAGTCATTTCGTGACAAGGATTACGTTGCTGAGGAAAGGCTTTAACCCTCCAGCCAAAAGACTTTTTTTTTTTTTTTTTTCCCCATATGAGCATGGTCCCCACTAGTGAGTTTTGTCCTGTTGCTGCTCTGGTGTGCTGCAGTGCCGGCAAGGGCTCTCCTTCCCTCCTGCCTCCCTGCCCTTACGCCGTGTGATGTGTCAGGGATGGCACGGGGCAAGTTTTGTGTGCAGGATTCTGCAGGGGCACTCGTCAGAGTAATGCACAACTCAGGCCTTGCTTGCTTGCTTTCTGCTAAGATCTGTAATCGATGTTACGGGTAGAGAATTTGAATGCACGAGCACCGAGTAGGGACACATGCATTTTCTGCAAGACGTGAAGGTGTAACGATTTTGAGGGAAATTAGCTTCCATATGTAACTTTCAAATATTTTCACATTGCTGAATGCAACATTTTTGTATGGTACAATTTAAAAGAGGATGACAGGAAATAGTCCTTAGAAAGTGTGTCTAAAATTGGAGAATGCAAATAGAAGCCATATTTTGAAAATGCAGCTTTTATTATCCTTTAGCAGCTTTTACTGAATAGAGAGGAAGGTTTTCCTTTGAAGACTCTGTAGGAAAGAGGTCTACATAATACATAGTATATCCACCTCAGAAAGAAGAACAGCTGAGTCAGTCCCCCTGAGAATTGAAACTGTGGTTACAGGCAATCTAGCAAGTCTAAATCTGTGGCTTAGACCAAGAAGCTCCAGCTTCTATATTGAATACTGTGCTTAATTTTTATAAGAATGGGTGTAGGCTGTGTAAAATTATTAGGGGAAACGACTTGCTACATGATGCTATGGCATAGTTACTGTTTTTCCTTTGTATTTCTGGAATAAATTTATATTAAAACCTTTACTGTATTACAAAAGTGAAATGTGCAGAAGATGGTAACCTATTTCAAGAGATTTATTGTTATGTTAACTCAGCATACTTCCAGAGAAATGGATTTCCTGTGCATGAAACATTTTCCTGGAAGTTGTACATTTGTGGCATCTACAATAGCGTGTAGTGGAAACATATAACCAAAATTTTCTTTGCTCAAAAAAAAAAGAAAAATCACAGTAGGATCTTACCAAAACAGATAAATATCATCTATTATTAAGAACAGTTAGGCAAATTAACATTTTTGCAGTTTTTTTTCATGGGAGCTACTCACAAACCCAGACATGCTGATTTTGTTCTTAGCCTCAGCTACATGTAACAGGCAAAGAACACGCATTCCAATTCAATAAAAATTTTCCAATGTTGCTAGGAATCAGTAATATTTGCTATATAATTTCAGTTTAAAGATTAGATTCAGCTATAAGAAAAAGTAAATGTCCGTGCATGCTCCAATTTGTCATTCATGAGGTTCTGTTTTATTTATTTGATTTTCTAGACAGGCATGCACACACGTTAATGTAAAATGTAGAGCAAATGTTTAATTAAAATAAGGATGAAATCAAATCCTGTTCCAATTAAACCCTTGGGCTGAGCTGTGGCAAGGCTTGTAAGGCAGGGAGGGGGACTTGTAAGGCGTTACGACCTTGTTTCAAAATGTCTCACTGAAACACACTGAGATGGTTTAAATAGGCTATTTATATCAGTCAAAAAGTGAATCTTAAAAAAATGTGTTAAAATGAGTGACTATGGCAGGTCTGTGAATGCATCAGGCTTGCACATCTGCAGGGTTTCTGCTCAGCCTTTGGGATTTCTTGTTAAGGGCTTTGGCGAGATTAGGAAAACCACCCTAAGCAACACGCAAAAGGGCACGGTGTGTATGAGTGCCATGAAGGATAAGAAAAGTAGAGGGATCTGCATGATCTTGCCCACGGCAGTGATGATGGTGGTGGCCAGCAGCACCCTAATGATGGTGTTTTTCCCTCTCTGCCCCGCAGGATGCGACATGTGTGCTGACAACCGCAACGGCGAGTGCCCCATGCATGGGCCCCTCCACTCCCTGCGCCGTCTGGTGGGCACCAGCAGTGCTGCCGCAGCGGCCCCGCCACCCGAGATCCCAGAGTGGCTCCGGGACCTGCCCCGGGAAGTGTGCCTGTGCACCAGCACGGTGCCTGGCCTGGCCTATGGCATTTGTGCGGCGCAGCGGATCCAACAGGGCACCTGGATCGGGCCCTTCCAGGGAGTGCTGCTCTTGCCGGAGAAGGTTCAAGGAGGAGCCATCAGGAACACTCAGCATCTCTGGGAAGTAAGTCGTCATCTTTCCTTCCTTGTCAAATTTGATTGTTTTGAAGCAGACATTGAGTCTAATTGTACATAGTACCAGCACCGTTCACTAGCAGTAGAAAAAAAAACCCAACGCAATTTAAGTAAGCTGACCCAGCAGATTTGAAAACGTAGCCAGTGCAAGCAAAAGCCTTGCTGCACCAGAGGTAGCTGGAAACCTAGTGGACTCCTCAGAGCAATTACAAAATTGGTTTGCATAGGAAGAGCAGATGGTTGCAGGTGCTGTAAGGCAGAATAGAGAGACATGGCCAGAGAAGGCTGAAGGCACACGGTGCTCTTTACATTTTGACCTAAGTAACAGGAGATGATGGCGGTCTCAGGTCACAGTGCCAGCTGTGTCATCTTACTCTGAGCAGCACATGTGGGTTGAAATGGTGTATTGCGTCATTGCTGTGGCCTACAGACAGTCCGAGAAAGCTGGTGAGACGTGTGCGGGAGCCTATTCTAAAGCCCTGCTTTGCATAGTGACTATATTCGTGCTTGTTCGCAATTTAGTTTAACTCCGGTCCTGCACCAACTGTGCATTCCCCTAATGATGCTTTCATGGCTTTTGTGTGAAAGCTACTTTCAGTTCTCTGAAGATGTTTGGTTTTTTATTTTTTTGTTTTTGTCACTATCTTAGAGAGGGTAAGAGTGATAACTGATATGAAAACATTCAGGCTGTGATAGTTTGGTTTATTTTGCAATGAACACTGACTGTAGTTTGACAGAACAGATCATAAACCCACTGTTGTATTCCTTTGGCTGTACAGGAACATCCATGGCTGTTACTGTTCATGACCACGTACATTTTCTCTAGTGAAGTGCTGGAGTTTTGTACTTAGGTATAGTTTGTATGCAGATGTTAACAACAGCATCTTGTAGTAAGTTAATTTAGCAAGAAAAGACAGTATGTGCTCATTTTATACACAGATCTAATAATTAATAGGGAACACCTACAATCCCTCTGTGCGTCAGTATTTCTTATTTATAGGAACAGCCTACTGTCTACCTAGTCTTTTGCCATTCATTTCTTCTTTGCATTGTGCTGGGCGGTGTCATTTCTTAGTTCTGCTTAGTCCTCTATAGCTGCAGCTTCTGCTCCCTCAACACTAACTGCTATGGAGAGTCAGTAGAAACGTGCCCGTAGATCTGCAGGTGATATTTACTCACCTAGAACAAATCAAAATCTTCAGCATGTAAGGGGATGTGCTTGCTGATTAGAAACCTGACAAGGAGTCCATGAAGATGCAAAGATATTTTTTGCTGTCTTCAATGGGTATACAGTAAAAGTGAATGGATTTTAAAAAGTTGTTCGGTGTTGTGGAGCCAGCATGTTGTGTACAGCACTTGTTCACAGAAAAATTGTGAATATTTAGGTTGTCAGCTCTTTGGGTCTGATAATTACCTGTTTTAATCATTATGTTCTATTTTTGCATAATATCTAATATATATGACTTCTTTCTATGAGTAGGAGCTCCTATGCATTTTCTATATGCAAACAATTAGTAAATAACACATCAGGGTCTTTGTCTCGAAGTATTTATCCGAAAGAGTACTGTGGCAAGAGGGAGATTTTCACATTAGAGAGTGAGAGATCAGTCTCACAACGCACATAGATGTACTCAGTAAAACTGGATGACTTGCAATCATTGGGAGTTTTGTTGCTGCCTTCAGTGGGGATGGAATTTCTCTGTTGTAGCAGATATTAATAAATCAGACTTAAATCTCTTCCTACCAAAGCCCCGTGATTATAATGAGAACATTTTGGGATGTGTTATTACTAAAATATTTTTTATGTGATACTCTATAATGATGTTGGAGGTTTTATTTTAATTGTTAAGAGGGGATTTGTGGTTTAGACTATGCTAATTAACAGAATATAAAATAATAAAATCATAAATTAAGTTTGACAGATTGTCAAGTTATTAAAAACAATGAAATTTATCTAAAATAAATGGAGTTAGAGAATATTACATTATCCTTAAATATTTACATTTTCAATTTAATTTTTTTAGTTATGAATCAGTTTTATGAAAGTTAAGTTGCAAATATAATATTTTTTTAAATTGGCAAGAATTTTTAGTCTAATTTCAAATGAACTTGAAAATTATTTTAAAGCAATGACAGAAAGGAGTTTTTTTGGCGGAAAGCCAAAAGCAAAGAAGAAAAAGATGTTAAGTAAAAATAAGAAATAGTACTGATGTATATGGCAGATTCAGGCCATTGATGGGTGTCAGATGAGTTTTTGTGTGGGTTTTCTGTTCTTAACACACAACACAGATTTCCTGTTGGCTAGCAAAATGAGTGTGTGTATTTTAAGTGAATTATCTTACAAATAATAATTAAATTTAGGGGGTTTTTGGGGGGAGGTATTGTGGGCAGCTCACAGTCTCAGATTGTTTCTGTTAATAGCAAAAATCACGTACTCTAGGCTCTAGCTAAAAGTTTTGGCTGTTGCTCATTTGTTTTGACTTTCAGTTTGGTATGTTTTATCTATCAGAGAACTAATGTTTAATAAAGAAAAAGTACAGCAAAAGAAAGTAATCAGAAAGTGTGTGTGATTTTACAAAGCTGATCTGTGAAAATAAATAAAAGCAATTGAAAGTATGTATCTGAACAGTGTGTGTTCTTTTAGTCTATATGGTATAGGAGTGAGGATTAAATCACTGTAAACGTTAAAGTAACGTCTCATCATTGTCCCTTTATAAAGTTATGGCTTTAGTCAATTCTCTTCCACCCATCTTTTCCAGATAGCTGCAAATACAAGTATGTCCACAGATCAGTTATTCAGCATTAGGTCTTCATGGAGCTTATAGAGAGAACTTATCTTTCTTAGTACCGTAAATAACATTCCAGTATTTTTTTTCTCAGCACTGCAAAGTAAAGTTGATAGGTATTTGGTTTTGTTTACAATTCTTTGTTTTCAGTGTACACCAGATAAATAGAAGGGCTACTGCAAAGACTTTTAAGCGTAGTTACTGATTTGGTGGCTTATTTTATTCTCTTTGTTGTGGGAAACATCAGAAGAACTGCATTTGATGTATGGTTCAGCACTATGGAAATATGCTGCAGTCTGTCTGCACAAGTGTTCCCACCATGCACTCAATGTTTGCTTTGCATGTAATCCATACAACATAATGTACAGCGATTCAGAGCAAATTACATACCATTCCATTACCTCACAACAGGCCTTGACACCTATGGGTGTCCATGGGAAATTATAGAGTTCTCTTGCAATCAGCCAAGATAATTTTTTATAACTTACAGAAAGATCAGCCCTTCAGAAAGCCAAAAATATTAGTAATTTTTAGTTGTAGTTCTTTTTCTCCCCTTTGGCCCACTTCTATCCAATCCAGAGTTTGCTTGTATTTTATGAAAATACAATAAACTCTGATTTGTTTAAAACAAAAACAGGACTGGGTGTATTAAGTAAACACTCTCTTTGGTAATAGAGGCATTTATTCCAGCACTGCTTGATAATATTTCTAATCTTTTTTTTTCTTTTTTTTTTTCTTTTCATTTTGAAGTAATGAGAACAATCCTTTTGTTATTGCAAAGAAAACAGAGACTTTCTCAGCAATTAGGTCTTACTGATGAGGATGAGATAATTTTCCCCTAATGTGTTTTCTAATAAAGAAGTGAAAAGGCACACTTGATTCCAACATATATGAAAACATTATCTCAATTATTAATGTGTCCTTACTCCCTGGAGATAAATTAATCTAGTTGCACATGGTTTCCCCTTTCTGTTTAACATCAAAATTTAATAAGAGTAGACTTAAGGAATGTGTACGATATACACTTAAATTCTGTTAGAATAAATTCAGAAGTTTAAAAAGCTTATACATTTTAGTATCAAAGTTTTTCAGACTCCAATCTTTAAACTGTGAATTCTGGAAACAGCTAAATTGTAAATGGTCTTTTTCCCTGCAAATACAGTTTAGATTAAAGAACTTTTATGGACAGACGTATCAAAGGATAGCATCGTACAGTTTCCTTTTCTTCATTTGCCTGGTAGAGAGTTTGCTGTCTTTCCTGATGGTTTTGTTTTGTTTTGTTTTGTTTTGTCAGAGATCAAATAGGTGTTTTTTTTTTCTTGGAATAGCCCAAGAATGTAAAATATATTATTTCACTGTATTTTAACTTGACTTAATTTAAGGTTTCCCTTTCTGGAAGAAACACTTTTTCCTATGTAGTTTTTTTACAGGGATGAGCAAAGTATTACAAAATGCTAAACCTGTGTTACTGATTTTCCCCTTAAATGGAGATGATTAACTGGCACTACTAGAAAGTGTGCATGTCATTTTAACAAAGTACCATTTAGGTACTTATTGGCCTTTTTGTGCCTCAACTGAACTCAAAGAAAACATTGCCTTTGACTTCATCTGGACCATGAACAGGCATTTTGCTGGGACTCATGCTGGCCAGAGTCCATGCAGTGGTACAGCACATTTCTGTAAAAATTAATACACAGAGAGAATCCTTACCTTTCAAATGAAGCACTCATTCAAGTTATGGTGATAAATTTGTATTCAGATTCTCAAGGCTGTAGTTTTGGACTAAATTTTCTGTTACAGCAAAGCACTGGGGGATAGAATTATGTGCATGCTGTAGTTCTATTAAAGTGAAAATTATGTTTCTCAGCAATCCATCATCTAGTATTCTAGACTGCTTGTCAGCCCTGTTTCAAATATGTCATGTTCATGAAATGCAAATAATTTTGTCTTGAAAAAAACCTCTTAGTTATATTACTATTGTATTTTAAATTATGCAGAGTAACAGCTTGTGCCATTCTGTTGTTTTTTTGTTTTTTTTTTTTTCCTTTTCTGAGGATTTTCTGTGGTGTACCACCCTGAGGTTATTTTCTACTAAAAAAGCACAATAATTTTTACTTTTACATGGATTTTAAGTTCACATACTGCCTACTGGAAATGTCGGTAATGTTGTATTCAGTAGCTTGGTAAGCTGAAAGTTCAGTAA